CAAGTAAATGGGAAAAGGACTGGCAGTTACCCAGCAAGTAACCCCAAGGGGGAGAGCTTCACGGGATCCAATTTGGTCAGCTCTCTGTTCTCTGGTCTCCATGAGACATCTTGGCTCCTGAGATGACTTTACTTAAGGCTGCTGAGCTCTCTCTGACTCCTGATCCAAGGCCTGCTGAGGAAATAGGAGGACCAGCTTCTGGTTTGCCTGCCCTGCCCCAGGAGAGGGCCTGGGGTGAGATAAGAGGATGCACACAGCCTGTGGGAGGAGACTGAGCTACCCAGAGGCCCTGCAGGAAATCTCCTCTTCCTTGGGGGCAGAAGGGAATGAATGACTCAGGGCTGCCTAGTGGGAGTTCCATTTTTTGCTGCCAGGATGGGTTGCAGGGAGACCCTTCGGATAAAGTGCTCACCAGGTTTGCCTTTCCCAGCTGCCTGGCTAATGAGACTTTTTCTCTTGCCTTTTTCATAATTTCTCTGGAAACAAATTTGTGCTGCTAGGCTGGTCTCTTACTCCATGCCTGGCCCAGCCCAGGCCATCTACAGTGAGAATGTGACCGTTGAATGAAGGAGTGAGAACTGAAGCTGGAATAGGTAGGTGCAGGCGAAGCTGAGCATTTAGGACCGTGCTCTGTGCCTGGTTTCCTGACTTGTTTGTAGTGAGACTCTGGGTCTCCATGGTGCCACAGTGGGAATGTGGGGACCTTCTGTTGGTGGAGGGTGCCTGAGAGCAACCTGACACATAGTATGTGATTGATGTATCTGTGTTGAATTTGGAAGTGTACTTTATCCAAATCTGGCCCTTGCTCACTGTGCTGGAGAAGCAGCAGAGTTCTGTGGCAAAGAGAGGGACTCTGGAGCTAGAATATCTGGGTTTGAATACCAGCTCTGCCACTTACCAACCGTCAGACTTTAGCCAAAATACTAACCCTGTCTGAGCCTGTTTCCTCTTCTGTAAAATGAGGATAATAATAATGACACTTACCTAACAGGGGTTTTGAAGACTGTATGAATTAATATGTGCAAAGTGCTTGGAACAGGGCCTGACAATTAAATACCATGTAAGCATTAGCTATTTTTCTCCTTTTAGTGACGGGCGTCTCCATCAACCTGCCATGTAAACAGAAGCTTGGCAGTAATCCTAGACTCTTCCTTCTCCTTTATTCCCATAATCAATCCTTGTCCATTTTTTATCTGTAGTATTTCTCCCAGTTCTACCACACCATCCTTTCACCTACACTGTAGTAGTCTTTCATTGATCTCCATGCCTTCATTTAAAAAAAAAAAAACAGCTTAGGGCCGGGCATGGTGTCTAATCCCAGCACCTTGGGAGGCCAAAGTGGGAAGATTGCTTGAGTCCAGAAGTTTGGGACCAGCCATAGCGAGACCTTGTCTCTTAAACAAACAAACAAAACAAAACAAATAAAAACTCTGCAACTTTATTGAGATACAATTCACATTCCAAACAACTCACCCATTTAATGTGTATAATTCAATAGTTTTTAGTATATTCACAAATAAGTGCAACCATGGTCAAGTTTAGAACATTTTTATCACATCTTTTCATGTGCTTATTGGTCACTTGCATATTTTCTTTTTTTTTTTTTTTTTTATTAATCAATATTTTTTATTATGGTTTTGTGGGGTACAGTTAAGGGTTAGGTGTACAATTACATTTCATTCAGGCACCCTGTTGATTAGAGGTGTTTTCCCATCCCCAGACAGATATTTGCTACTGTTAATCCCATCCCCCCCCATAGTTTCCCAGTACCGTCAGTCATTTTCTTATCATATTACATTGGATGTTCAAGGTCCATTATATGAGTGAGAACATGTGATACTCGGATCTTTGTTTCTGTGAGAGGTCACTCAGTATTATAGACTCTAGTTCCATCCAGGTTGCTGTGAAATTCATGATTTTGTTCTTTTTTATGGCTGCATAGTATTCCATCGTGTATATGTACCACATTTTAAAAATCCAGTCCTCTTTTGATGGGCAGCATGGTTGTTTCCAGGTTCTTGCTATTGTGAACAACACTGCGATAAACATACGTGTGCAGGTATCTTTTTTATAGAGTGATTTGTGTTCTTCAGGGTATATTCCCAGTAGGGGGATTGCAGGGTCATATGGAAGGTCAATTTTTAGAGCTTTTAGGAATCGCCACACTGCTTTCCACAGAGGTTGCACTAGTTTACACTCCCACCAACAGTGTAGAAGTGTTCCCTTTTCACCACACCCTCTCCAGCAGCTGTTATTTTTTGAGTTGTTGATAATTGCCATTCTGACTGGAGTTAGGTGGTATCTCAGTGTGGTTTTGATTTGCATCTCCCTGATGATTAGTGAGGTTGAGCATTTCTTCATGTGTTTGTTGGCTGCTCGGATGTCTTCTTTTGTGAAGTGTCTGTTCATATCTTTACTTGCATATTTTCTTTGGAGAAATGCCAATCAGATCCTTTGCCCATTAAAAAATATGGGTTATCTGTCTCTTTATTATTGAGTTGTAAGATTTCTTTACATCCTATACCTTTTACTTTCACCCTCTTATCCCTCCAACTTCCTCTCAGCCCTTAAGCACTGTTTCTATCTCTGTAGATATGGAGATTTCTTTCTTTTTTTTTTTAGGTTGGAAAATATAGTTTATTTAGAAAGCAAGTGAGAGAGAGAGAGAGAGAGAGACAGAGAGAGAGAGAGAGAGAGATTGATTTACCTCCCCAAGGAAGGGGAGGGGGCCAAATCTTAGGAAAACATGGTGACCACAGCTCAAAGAACACATGGCCAGACCATAACTTACAACTACCATAGGAAATCTTTTGTGACTGGCTTTTCACTTAGCATGGTATTTTTAATGTTCATTGACATTTTAGCATGTATTAGTACTTCCTTCCCTTTTAATGGCTAAATAATATTCCACTGTATGGATATACTATATTAATTTATCCATTTATTAGTTGATGAACATTTGAGTGGTTTCCATTTTTAGATTATTATGAATAAGGTTGCTATAAACATTCATGTTTAAGTTTTTGTATGGCTGTGTATTTTCATTCTTTTGAGTATATATCTAGGAGTGGAATTTCTGGGTCTCTAAAGTTCCCATATGTTTTATTTTATTTTATTTTTATTTTCTTAGAGACGGTCTTGCTCTGTGGCCGAGGCTGAAGTGCAGTAGCATGATCAGAGCTTACTGCAGCCTCAAATTCCTGGGCTTAAGAATTCCTCCCACCTTAGCCTCCCAAGTAGCTGAGACTAGAGGCACATGCCACCTTGTCTGGCTATTTAAAAAATTTTTTTTGTAGAGACAGAGTCTCCCTATGTTGCCTAGGCTGGTCTCAAACTTCTAGCCTCAAACAATCCTTCTACCTCAGCCTCCCCAAATGCTAGGATTACAGACATGAGTCAGTGTGCCTGGCCAAGTGTTCCTATATGTTTAAGGAACTACCAGACTATTTTCCAAAGAGGCTTCACAATTTTACATTCCTACTAGCAGTATATGACAGTTCCACTTTTTCCTTGCCAACACTTATCTTTTTGATTATAGCTCTCTTAGTGGGTGTGAAGTGATATCTCATTTTGGTTTGATTTGCATTTCCTGGTGACTAATCATGTTGAATATTCCTTCTTTTAAGTTAAATTAAAATCCTTTTTTTTCCTTAGAGACAGGGTTTAACTCAGTTGCCCAGGCTGGAGTACAGTAACATCTTTTCATGTGCTCATTGGTCATTTGCATATTTTCTTTGGAGAAATGTCTATTCAGATCCTGTACCCATTAAAAAAAAATGGGTTATCTGTCTCTTTACTAATGAGTTGTAAGACTTTATATAGTCTATATACATGTCTCATAAGATATATGGCTTACAAATTTGTTTTTTCATTCTGTGGTTGTCTTTTCACCTTCTTGATAGTGTCCTTTGATGCACAAAAGTTTTTAATTTTGATGAAGTCTAATTTATGTATTTTTGATTTTGTTACTTGTACCTTTGCTGCCAGGTCTAAGAATCTACTGGCAAATCAGAGGTCATGATGATTTACTCCTATGCTTTCTTCTAAAGGTTTTATAGTTTTGGCTCAAATATTTAGGTCTTTGATCTACTTTGAGTTAATTGGGTTTTTTTTTTGAGTTGGGGTCAAATTGGGGACACAATCATGGCTTACCACAGCCTCAAATTCCTGGGGTCAAGTGATCCTCCTGCTTCAGCCTCCTGAGTAGCTGAGACTACAGGCGTGTGCTATCATGCTTGGCTATTTTTTATATTTTTATTTTTTGTAAAGACAAGGTCTCACTATGTTGCCCAGGCTGAACTTGAACTTCTGGGCTCAAGCGATCCTCCTGCATTGGCCTCCCAAAGTGCTGAGATTAGAGGCGTGAGCCACCATGCCTAATGGAGTTCATTTTTGTATTTGGTATTTGGGTAGAAGTCCAACTTTGTTCTTTTGCATGTGGCTGTCCAGTTGTCCCAGCACCATTTATTGAAGACTATTTCTTCCCCATGGAATAACCTTGACACCTTTGTTGAAAATCAGTCGACCATAGACACGTGGGCTTAGGTCTAAACTCTCAATTCTACTCCATTGATCTATATGTCTACCCTTTTGCCAGTACCATACAGTCTTGATTTTTGCTTCTTTGTAGTAAGTTTTGAAATCTGAAAGTGTTAAGTTCTCCAACTTTGTTCCACTTTTTCAAGATTGTTTTGACTATTCTAGCTGGGTTCCTTGCAGTTACATATGAATTTAAAATACTTGTCAATTTCTACAAAGAAGCCAGCTGAAATTCTGATAGGGATTGTATTGAATCTGTAGACCAAGTAGTGAAGTATTATCATCTTACCAGAATTAAGTTTTCCTATTCATGAACATGAAATGCTTTTCTGTTTATTTAGATTTTATTTATTTCAACTATGTTTTATAATTTTCAGAATGTAAGTTTAACACACTTTGTTAAATTTATTCCTAAGTATTTTATTCTTTTTAATCTATTGTTTTCTTATTTTCATTTTTAGGTTGTTCACTGCAAGTGTATAGAAGAAAATTGCTTTTTGTATATCAATCTTGTATTCTGCAACTGTCCTGAACTTACTTATTATTAGTTCTAAATAATTTTTTAGTGGACTTAAAATTTTCTGTGTACACTATCATGTTATCTGCAAATAGAGATAGTTTTACTTCTCCTTTCCAGTCTGGATGCTGTTTATTTCTTTTTCTTGCCCAACTGCTCTGGTTAGAACCTCCAGAATAATGTTGAATGAAAGTGGGAAGAGCAGATATCCCTGTCTTATTCCTGATCTTAGGGGGAAATCATTCAGTCTTTCACTATTATGTATGAAATTAGCTGTGGGTTTTTTGTAAATACCCTTTGCCAAGCTGACAAAGTTTCTTTCTATTCCTGATTTTTTAGAAGTTTTTTTTTATTTTAAAAGAGTATTGTATTTTGTCAAATGCTTTTTTTTTTTTTTTTAATCTTTTGAAATGATGATGTAGTTTTTGTTTTTTATTCTATTGATATAATGTGATACAATAATTGATTTTCAGGTGTTAAAACAACCTTTCATTCTTGGGACAAATCCCACTTGATTATGGTGTATAATCTTTTTTATATGTTGTTGGATTCTGTATATTCGTATTTCTTTTTTTTTGAGTTGGAGTCTCACTCTGTCACCCAAGCTAGAGGGTAGTGGCACGTTTCTAGCCACTGCAGCCTTGACCTGCTGGGCTCAGGTGATCCTTCCACTTCAGCTTTCCGAGTAGCTGGAACTATAGGCATGTGCCACCATGCCCAGCTAATTTTTGATTTTTTGTAGAGATGAGGTCTTGTCAAGTTGCCCAGGCTGGTCTCGAACCTGCAGGCTCAGGCAATCCTCTCCCCTCGGCCTCCCAAAGTTCTGGATCTATTAGTATTTTGTTGAGAATTTTTGCATCCATAATTATAAGAGATACTGGATTGTAGTTTTTTTGTGCTGTCTTTGTCTGCTGTGGGTATCAGGGTAACACTGGCCTCACAGAATACACTGGGAAATATTCTCTCCTTTTCTGTTTTTTGAATAAGTTTGTGAAGATTTTACATTTATTCTTTAAATGTTTGGTAGGATTCACCAGTGAAGTTTTCTGGGCCTGAGCCTTTTCTTTGTAAGTAGTTTTTTTTTTTTTAATTAATTTAAATTGCTAATTCAATCCCTTGTTATAAGTCTATTTATATTGCCTATTCCTTCTTGAGTCAGTTTTGGCAGTTTGTGTCTTTCTAGGAATTTATCTATTTCATCTATGGTATCTAATATGTAGATATTCTCCTCACCTTTACTCTTTGTCCTGTATGATCCATTTTCCACAGAGTAGCCAGAGTGACTTGTTAAAAACTGCAAATCTGGACCGGGTGTGGTGGCTCATGCCTGTTATCCCAAAACTTTGGGAGGCTGAGGTGGGAGAATCATTTGAGGCCTGGATTTCAAGACCAGCTGGGGCAGCACAGTAAGACCTTCATCTCTGGGGGGGCGGGGGAAGCCAGGAATGGTGGTAGATTCCTGTAGTTTTGGCTACTCAGGAGACTGTGGCAGGCTGATTGCTTGAGCTGGGGGTTTGAGGCTACAGTGAGCTATGATCATGCCATTGTACTCCAGCCTGTCAGACAAAGCAAAACACTGTCTCCAAAAAAAAAAAAAAAAAAAAAGCAAATCTAAAAATTACAGGATAAAGTTCCGTGTCCTTAATGCTGCCTATAAGGCCTACCACGTCCTGCCTCCCTTACCTCTCTGGGTTCATTACCCTCTCAGAGCTATGCTCTCCCTTTGTTCCTACCATGTGGAACTATTTGCAGCCCCTGAACAAACTACGTGTCACAGGTGTTTTTCCTGTGTCAGGATCTCTTTCTCTGGTGAACGCCTATTTCCTTTTCATGGCCGAGATTAAAGTGTCACTTTCTCTGGAAAACTTTCCTGACTCCAACTCCTGCTCAAATGTTCTCCAGGTCTGCTCCCTTTCTTAGAGCATACCCCACTATATTTTGTTGTTGTTTATACATATCTGTCACCCCACAGGGACATTCTTGTTTACATATCAGTCCGCATCAGGGACAACTTTTTAATCCCCACACCCTGGACTTACTGATATCCCTGCAGTGAATGTGGATCTGAAATGAAGTTTCTTTCCAGCAAATCCTGTCTCCCTCATCCTACATATCTTCTTATTTACCCCAGTTAATTTCTTCCTTTTAAATTCATCCCCATACTCCAACCATTCAAGTATTTTCAGAATACAGATTCTGATAATTACCCTCCCCAACTTCCTGTCTTTGTATATAATGATATCAGCTGACACTTACTGAACACGTACTATGGTCCAGGCCCAGTGCTGTGAAAGATGGGCCTGTGTGATCTAATTTGACACTAACAACATTGAGGTAGCTATACTAACTACACTTTTCAGAGACTGACACTTAGAGAGGTTAAGTGACTTGACCAAGGCCAAACAGATGGTAAGTGATACAGCAGGGACTTGAACACAGGTCTGTGTGATCCCAGAATCTGTGCTCTTAACCACAATGCCATACTGTGTTGTGCTTTTAAAAATTTCATCTGATTCACTGAAACAACATGTGAAACACAACCAGTCTTGTTTCTTAAAGGACCAGTAGGAGAGAAATCTGAGGCCAGCCATGAGCAATCCAGAGAGTAGGTAAGCCCAGAGGCTGCACAGCACATGGTAGTATGGGACTAACCTCAGGACAGGGAGCAGAACCCCTGGAAGGGAGCACTTTCCAGAACACGATGAGACCCTGAAGAAAGCAAAGACATCTTACCATGGCTGGCCAAAGTTGGGAGTAGCCTCTGCCCATCTCTTTTTGGGCTCACAAACTGGGCAGGAAGGTGGCTACCAAGCCAGGAGAGACTGTCTGGAGGCATAGGAAAAGGATAAAGAGCATACGACAGGCCAAAATCTGTCTGGTGCTAGGGTATCGGTCTGAGCTGAGGCTGGGCTACAGCCAGTCCTGGCGTGAGTTGTGTGGACAGAGCAGAGAATCCTATGCTGCCAGCTACCAAGAGACACAGGGAGACATGTTGGTGATGGAGGCTGGGGAGCAGGGAAGAAACCATGGAAAATTGGACTTCTGACTAGGACAGAGGTGGGGACTAGTGGTGTATGTGTAAAATGGGTCTTCCAGAATGTCTCCCATCCTGGAGAGGCAACCTCACATAGGGCTTGGGCTTAAAACAGTGTGACTAGGGACAGCATGTCTTTTTCTAGAAAGCCCAGTTTCTATTTCTTGGGTTTAATCCCCCCCATACCCCCAGGGGGACCAGCAGTAAACGGTAGACATTGGATGAAGCGTCTCAGAGCATTTATTCTTTTCTGAATACCAGGCAGGGAGTGGGAGTAGTTGGACAGGGCACATTAGTGGTGTGAGTGCTGGCTTGGGTGAAGGAACTAGAGCAGGAGTTTACATGTGGGGAGCATCAGGACAGGGAGCACACCTGTGGGGCTGCTGGACTGGAAGGAAGGGTGCCAAGGGTAGCTTGGAGAGCAGCTGCCGGAGACAGCGGGAGCAACTGCAAAGCATGAGGACTTCTAAACCCACCCCATCCCTGGATCCCCTCTTTTCTCCTTTAAGTTAAAAACATTTCTTGAGGCAGCTTAGGTCAGAGGCTGTAAGGGTTAGAAGTCACAGATTGGAGGGCAGAGTCTGCTCCGGCCAGCAGAGCCAGGTTCTGGCTGGATGGTGGTTCAGGCCTCCTCAGCTGTGGCATCGATGCCTGCATAGGTGAAGTTCTCAAACAGCGACATGTTCACGTAGGCCTGGGGGAAGAGCAGGCTTCAGTGGGGGCTAGGCATGGGGCACATCTGACCTCAAGCTCCTTGACTTACATGTGGTTTGGGGCATTTGAACAGACACTGATTTGTTCTGGAGACTCAAGATGGCCTCATGGCCAAGGGTGGCCCTTACCAGCCCAGGGCAGTGAGGGCATCAGGCTATAGCTGGGGGTCTCAGGTGAAAGACCCTTGACACCACTGTTAGAGTGGGGTTCTCTCACACACTTATCCAATGAATTGCTTACATATTCACTCACTCACTCATTCACCTATTTGAAGTCTTTTTTTTTTTTTTTTTTTTGAGTTGGAGTCTTATTCTGTCTGACTGGATTGCAGTGGCAAGCTCATGGCCACCACAGCCTCAACCTGCTGGGCTCAGGTGATCCTTCCCCCTCATCCTTCCAAGTAGCTGGAATTACAGGTATGCGCCACCATGCCCAGCTAATTTTTTGATTTATTGTAGAGATCAGGTCTCACCAAGTTGCCCAGGCTGGTCTCAAACCCATGGGCTCAGGTAATCCTCTCACCTCAGCCTCCCAAAGTGCTGAGATTATAGGCGTGAGCCACCATGCCTAGCCAGAGGATATTTTTGATGATTCATTCATTTATATGGTTATTTGATCATTCCTTTATACTTAATAGTTATTTAATCATTAATTCATATAAAGTACTCTTTGCATATTTATTAATTTTTATATATTATCATTGATATTTATTTGATCATTTATTCACATGGTTATTAGATTCAGTCATTGAATCATATATTTATTCATGTGGTTATTATATCATCCATTCATTCATGCATACAGTTACTGTATCATTCATTTACTCATCCATCTATTTGGGTAGTGACCATTCATGCATTATGCTCTGAGTCTGCCAGGTGAGAAAACCTGTCTTAGTTGAGAATGGGCTGATGGCCTCAGCAGAGGAGGACAGACGAACAGTCTGGGACCTGGGGCTTAGGGGAGGGATTTGCTGTTGGGGCTAAGCAATGGCCTTGGAAAATTTTGGAAGGGCCTAGTGTCTGACCCTTTCCAGCAAGGATTGGAAAGGCGGGCTGCATTCTGGGCAATAGCCCAAGCTGAGGGAGTTTGGGCAGGCAGTGTGGTTGGGACAGGGGTCACGTGAACTCAGTGAACTTCAGCCTCCCACCCCTAGTCTCCTCACCTTTCTGGCTTCCAGCATGCGGCCCAGCTGTAGTGCAATCTGAGCAAAGGGGGGTCGCTCATATGGACGGTCGCGCCAGCACTGACGCATCAGCTCGTACCTGCAGATGGGGCATTGCTTAGATGAGGGTTAGGGCCAACTGGGGT